CTTCGACACTAACATATAGAGTAAAGCTTGATATGTACCAAGCATTAGAATATCCTCTAACTGACTGCACCTGATGGACAGTGCTTCCTTGTCTTTTTTTTTTTTTTTCGTAGATTGGTGATTAGATTTATGAGATTCATTCAACTTGTTTGATACCAAGCATTAGAGTATCCTCTAATTGATTGTGAATGACGGGCATTGTTTGCCTCCCATATGTAGGCTGGCAATGAGATTCATGAGATTCATTCAACTGATTGATRCCAAGCAATAGAATACTCTCTGGTTGATAGCACATGACGGGCAGTGTTTGCCTGCCATTGTAGGCTGGTAATGAGATTCATGAGATTCATTCAAATGATTGATACCAAGCAAAGAATACTCTCTGGTTGAYAGCAMMTGACGGGCATAGCATGCCTGTCATTGTAGGATGRTAAAAAGATTCATTCAGCGTGTGCATTTAGCCACCAAGAAAGACAAATGACATTATMACAGTTCCAATGGTCACACAAATACCTGTGTAATAAGCAGATGCGGAGATGACTATGTTATTGTTACAAAAATCAATGTTACAACCATCAGTATTACAGCACATTATCCGACAATTCGCTTTCATCTGCAAACAGTCAGACCCAGAGCACATTTCAGAGGGTGCGCATATCTTTGTATAAGTTTTCTTAAAGATTCCATTTCTGTACCATTGGATCTCTGCCGACAAACAAGACGTTTCGGAGCCTCGGCACCATCGCTTGAAAGTATTTTTTTCACAGTGTGTCCAGGATTGGTTTGAAACGCATTCGTAACACCATAGACTTCTTCCTGGAAAATAATAAATTTTTTTTGTTTGTTTTTGTTTTTGAGAATAGTCCCCTTCACATTTCCCTGCGCCATATTGAAAGGTAGCCGTGCCTTTGCATTGAAGCGAGACGAACGGTGAGCTTGTAATGATAGAGACCTTTTTTAACACCTTAGACAATTATTCACATGTCTCTATCTTTGCAAGCTCACCGTTTGTCGCGCTTCAATGCAAAGGCACGGCTATCTTTCAAGAWGGCGCAGGGAACTGTTAAGGGGACTATTAGCAATTAATGTGCGAACACAATAAMCGGGAGCACTYGAACAAAATTTACGATAAAAAAGGCTTTATCCAATCAAGAAAGAGCAAAATGAGTACCCTATTAGCCTCAGCCAATCACAATCACTCATTCCAACAGTTGTTGAGAACAGTTTTCCTCAGAAGTCTAGGCCTCGTTGCTTGATCCTGATTGGTTTAAGTTTGACTTGTTTGATTTCTTTGTTTTCACTCTATGTCGTGATTGGTTAGCTTTCTTCAGGTGGTCCTGGTTAGCATGCCCACACAGTAATAGCCAGTGGTAAACAAACCTGTGGCCTTTGTTCCATGATTCAAGGACCGCTGACCACCGTAAAA